TGTCGATACCCTCTCCAAACTGTGCTGAGTGATCAGCACGAGTGGTGATGGTCACAGATCGTCTGGATGGAGGGGAAAGATAGGCTTCAGTGTGCATGCCACAATACTGTGCCAATGTGTCACAGCGCTCATGAACGGCGATGATGATGTCGCCGTGGGTGTGTGTGACGGCAGGGGCGAAAACGTAATGGACGCAGATCATGGTTTGCACGCGTTATGGACGGTGACGCTTTAGGAGCAGGCTACCGTTTTGCGTGTAGAAATGGCAAAGATCTGACATCATGGTGTGGCGGGCCGTGACGTTTTTAGCGGCATGGGTCGATGGCAAAGCTTTCCCACCACTTGACAGTAAAAAACTCTGGCTTGCGTTAGTCACCTGAAATGACGTCTAGAGTGAAAGGCGTCTGAGGCAATTGTTGTCTCTTGATCTGCGACACGGTAGGATGACGGGCTGATTTGGCCTCCCCGACCGCGGAAGTTACTAGTCGCTGTCCGTCTGAGGAGCTCTGTGCACTGCTATAGCTCTGGATACCGAAGATACCTGAAAGGAGGGCACTTCACAGTGTATTTTCCCAAAGCTCTGCGACTGCGATGGCCCCCCTCCAGAACAAGCAATGGTGAGTGGGCTGGCTACTCGTGGGTGGACTGCCTGCAAAGTGGGACTGACTCGGGAGTTGTGAGTAGATTTGTAGATCAAGCATAAACAAAGCAGCAGGCAGAACTTGGTCCAGACACAGGGTCTACGGAAATATTTGTCAGATATGGGCAATTGATAATCTTGAACATGGGAAACATCCGGGCAACCCCATGAGTTGGTCATGCTGGGAGCTAGATGGGTCTCGGAGCCCGACTCCCCCCCGTAGTGCGTTTTGGTTCCAAGTTGGCATGCATAAGGCAGTCGCAGATGCCCCTCATGGCTGTGGTGCAGGGGGTGTGTCGGTTGATGCAGCTGCGAGCTCCCAGCCCCATCCAGACAACAGGAAAGTCGTGCCTAGGTGAGGCACTACTGTCAGGTCCCCCGCGCGGCGTCTGCCTCGCAGACAATGGGTTTTAGTGAGGAAGATAAGTAGAACATCTCTCAGTGGTTCTGTCGCTTCCCGTCAAAAAGGCACCGGAGTTAGGCGCCTTGACATGACCGATTGGAATGGACTGGAACAGAGGCACTACGCCATGGCTGGTCTGGGCCCTTCCGAGAACTCTGGCGGTGTTGTGCCTGGTCCAGAAACGCACTAGGCCAGCGCTCAGCCAATGACATCATGTAGCACAATCTCCTCACAAAGCGTGTTGATCCCTATTTTCGGCTTCCCACCACGGGTCTGGGCCCTCGCTAAAGCCGCACACCGTCTCCGCAGCCTGCAAGGCAAGCGACCACCAGAGCCCGGGTCAGGAGACTCCGGAGTCAATTCATTCTGCTCTCATGCGCCGGAAAGCCCATTGGCAGAATTGCCATTGGGTGACCGTGGCTGGACTGGGCAAAACAGCTGAGCCATGGCACCCGGTCCGGCAAATGACATAGGTGCTGCCACCTCTACGTACGGTAGCTGACAGAATCATGGAAACGAAGCCGTGAGGTTGTACGTCGACCATAATTGCACTGTGTGAGCGAGGCAATGGCCTGGCAGGACGTACCCAAGTCACTCGTCCCAGCTCCTGATCTTCGAGACAAGGTACGGGCGACTGCCGAGATGCCCCCTCAAGGAGAAAGCATCTAGCGTTGGCATGAGGGATCTAATCCGACGACACCATGACATCGAGGATGACTTCAGCGGCCGGAGGGATCATCAGGGTCCTTTGCCTCCGGGACAAACCAGAGCTGGGAGAGGCCTGCTGGGGAACATCACAGCTCCGGTTTTATGACATTGAAGAAATGCCCGTACAGTCACCTCCACACCCCCTGCGCAGAGGAGAGAGCCGGTCGTCATTGTCTGTGGAATGCGGGTGTGGCAATGGACCCTGAAGGCTCGAGACCCTTCCCACCCTCCGCGAGTTGATGTGGGTGGGCCCTGTGTATGGGGAATGGGATCAGTGGTGGCCCACCCAAGCGCATGCAGTGAAGTGCTGTGCGTCCACTGGGCTGATCCCTGTAGCGCTTACGACATGTCTTGGCACCCGCTGGTTGCTGTTGCCGGCGGGGCCACGACCATCTGCCTGACCACTTCCCCACTGGGCCGCCAAAAAAGAAAGACCAGACCCTTATTTAAGGTCTCCAGGACCCTTAATCTCAGTCGAAAACATTCAGCGTCAGAGCTTGATCTCTTGTCATTACAGTACCCGCTAGTCGGTAATCTTTTCACCTTTTACAATCTGTTCCCAGCCTCAATTGTTTATTAGAAAGAGACACCCGGCTCTTACACATATACACATACACCTTAAAGTCTCTCCTCCCGGAGTCCTATCAGTCCCGTCGTTGCCGACATTACCTCCACAACCACCACTCCTAATACCCAAACACCGTACTTTTCCGTACCGAATACCCAATCTCCAACATGCCTGGACCAGCAGACTACTCCGTCTCCATTCCCATCGCTTCCCCTCCGCAGGACCTCTCCAGCTACGCCCGGTTCATGCACGACCACACCAAGCGTCAAATGGAAGCACAAGGCGCCTTCTCCGACAGAAAGCCTGGCGAGGGCAAGTCCTCAGTGTCAAGCGGTGCCAGCTCGATGGCCAACGGATCTAGTCCCACGGGCATGCATATTTGATCCGGTCCAATCCTACCTCTCGGCCCCCCATTGAGCCGTAGTAACCTCAGTGGGACAATATCGCTCTGGAGTGATTAGAAAAGTCGGATCTTGCCTGTGGCCAGCAACACGCGCGCAAAGCAACACGGTCTTATTTTTCTCTCGTCATTTTTTACCGATCGTTGTTTCTCAGGCAACAAAGAAACAACTGGAACGATACGACTTGTTTACATTACATCACGCTTCTCGATGCCCGCTGTACCTACAATGACGTCCGAGTGGCGAAATTGGGGGATGGAGCGCCTGAGGCCCACAGCACGACTCGGGCACATCTGCCGCCTAACTTGTTTTGCCGGGGCATGAATGGCGCCCATTGAACAGCGACGGCCTACTTATTGATATTTCTCGTTTATTTGGGAGACGCAATCGTCTGGACGATTCTCGCGACAGCTTCGTGCGATGACCTTGGATATTGGGTTCTGAAATCTCATCTACATCATGTCTTATGATTTATCTGTTTAGGCAAGGAGTTAAAGGAAACAAAGCAACATGGGATGGCGTATTATTGCAAGGTTTATTTATTACCTTATACATTGTATGACTTTGCGCACCCAAACAACTGGGCGGCAGCGCGCACGTCGAATTGAACAAGTTCACTCATCAACCTATCTGATTTGACCATATGTACCAAGTGAATGTGAAAGTTCATGTATTGCGAAACTGAAAGCTCATCAATGTAGTCAATTCTAGATCCACTCGTAGCCCATGCCTATCTATATTTAATGTCGAATTCCATATGCTTTCCGTGACGCCAGAGGTGATCCAAATTGCTATACTAAAGCCTTCTTCTTTTTGATGCCAAGGAGCGCTGAATGGTCCTTCTTCTTCTTGACAACTCGTTTAAATGATGTACTTGGGGCAGCTGCTTCAACACTCACAGCCACAGGCTTGGCTGGTGGAGGCATCAACACGTCATCCGACAACACCTCCGAGGAGTGCACAGATGTGGCCGAGCTGGACCCGGTAGTGCTCTCATCTGAAGCCATGCTCGCCTGCCCCCTCGCCGCAGCAAACGCCCGCTTGGCCGCAGCGTCGTCCTCCATCTCCTGCCTGATCCTGTCCTCATCCTCGGCCCGCACTACGGCGTCGGCGTAGTCGGTCCCCTCCTTCTCCGACCTGTGAATCCTGGCGTTGCGGTGGCGGATCTCGTCGAGCGCGTCGGCCGCCGCCATCTCCCGCCTCGCGTCCGCGTTCTTCGCCTCCAGCTCCTCCATGGCGTTCTTCTCCTCCTCGCCCGCCGCCTCGGCCTCCTCCCTCTCCAGCCGGTCCAGCCGCTCCTCCATCGTCTCCTCGGCCTCCTCCTTGTTCCGCCAGGGCTCGACGTTGCGCAGCGCGCCGCTGACCATGGCGTAGTCGTTGTTCTTGGGGTCCGTCCGGAACATGATCGCCGCCGAGCACCGGGGGCACTTGATGTGGAAGTAGAATATTTGGATGTTTAGGTACTTCTCGTCCAGGGGCGTCTCTTTCCGGGCGTTGAACTGTTAAAGATGTAAGCGGTTTGATCTTTTTATAGAAGCGGATTGGTTGAGGCATACCTTTCTCCCCTTGCCTACGTAGTCTCCGCATGTCATGCATTTCAGAGAGAAGGGCGCGGCAAGTCGAATAGTTTGGATCTGTTTTGGATGTTAGAAGAGTTTCAATATGAATAGATTTGGACCGTATACGTACTCTGTTTCCTTCTTGTTTAGGACCGCGACGTCGAGTCAGCTCCCGAGGATCGAACGTCGGTGGGTAGTATTTCTACTGAAGAGTTAGTGTTTTGCCTTCCTCTACACCGGGGCTTGAATATCTCGTACCTGTAACACTTTGCGTTCAGACATTGTGCAGAGTCGAAGGCAGAGCGATCGTATGTGACGGAAAGCTTGGGTGAGTGCCTGAATTGAAGGCTCCTGCGTAGTTGATCGGCACGCGACGACCGTGCAGACGGCGATGTAGGTTGCGAAAGTTGCCTGGACGTCTTGGTGATGGCTGGGCGGCGATAAGAGATAGACTTTCTGGCGGTTTCTGATGACAAAGCCCCGGTAGAGTCACTGAAAGCGCGTGACCCACAAAAATTAGCTGGGTGGTAAGGCTTCAGCCTCTCAGCAAGCGATTCATCAAGTTATATTTCCTTCATCAAAACTCATCGCCATCCATTCCACAGCGTCATAACGAAATCATCAGCGTGAAATACAACAAGACCAACGTATAACTCACCGATTGTCTCCGAATTCCAACCAAAGCTCCTCGTTTTGACCACAAACTCTCATCCTAAACACCATGCCCAAGGCTGAAGTGGGCTCAGTAAAACACCTGAGCAACAAGCTCAAATCCAAGGGTCTCCAGCGACTGAGATGGTATTGCCAAGTGTGCGGTAAGGTTTTTTCATACCAGCCCCCCTCTACGAACCTAGCTGACCAGTCTCCTCCATGCAGAAAAACAATGCCGTGATGCCAACGGCTTCAAGCTGCACTCCCAGTCGGAGAGCCACGTGCGGCAGATGCTCATCGTGGGCGAGGACCCCAAGAAGCACATTGAGAACTTCAGCAACGAGTTCCTCAAGGACTTCATCTCCCTGCTCAAGACGGGCCACGGCGAGAAGCAGGTCCACATCAACCACTTCTACAACACCTACATCGCCAACAAGGAGCACATCCACATGAACGCCACCAAGTGGCACTCGCTGACCGACTTCGCCCAGTACCTCGGCAAGCAGGGGATCTGCAGGGTGGAGGAGAACGAGAAGGGCCTCCACATCTCGTGGATCGACGACTCGCCCGAGTCGCTGCGGCGCCGGGAGGCGCTGAAGCGCAAGGAGGCGCAGGACCAGGGGGACGAGGAGCTCGAGCAGCGCCTGCTGCGCGAGCAGATCAAGAGGGCGCAGGCGAACTCGACCAAGCCCGCGGAGGAGGCGAACGAGGAGGACCGTGAGCTGAAGCGGGATGAGGGCGAAAAGATCAAGCTTTCTTTCGGTGCGAAACCGGCGGCTGAGACCGTCAAGGAGTCGGGCGACAAGACAGCGGTCACCGGAGAGGCAGAGGCATCTGCAACGGAAACAACCGATGGATCAAAGCCTACGGCAGCGAAACCAAGCGGGTTCGGTGGAATTTCAATGAAACTTGGAGGCGGGAAGCCTCAGACGAAAAACGTCTTCTCACAGGCAAAGAAGAATGCGTTCTCAACAGGGTCGAAGAAAGGCGGTATGGCTGAACAGCCAAAGAAGATGAGCGAGGCGGAGCGAATTATGAAAGAAGAGATGGAACGGAAGAGGTCCAGGGAGACGGCAGGTTTTGGGATGCCCAGCTCCAAGAAGCACAAGGGTAAATGAAGGGGTTCCTTCACACGGGCGTTAGAGGGACTAATACATGTCTGATTTGGTGTTGATGAGCATTACGGTGTATATTGGCGTTTGTTCGGTTTCCCATAGATTTGATGAAATGACATTGAATGATTTAGCTAATTGTGCTGCTGTCCTGGATTCGCCGGCGCCTCTCTTTTGCCCAAAATATCAATAAAAAACACATCACTCGGTGGCAAAACGCACCGTCCTAGGCATCAACCTCGGCCTCGCTTCCATCTCTCCTATGAAATGTGTCAGTAAAAGTTTCCATCATGTCGACGAACATCAGATCTGAAACCCATACGGAATGTAGTGTATCCTGTACTCATCCTCAAGCGTAGACTTGACCTCGTCAGGGAGCTGGCCCGATACCTTGATCGCGTACATGCCCGGGACGTAGCCATCTAGGCGCTGCCACTTGGCGATCCACGACTTGGTTGGGTCAGCGAGTGTGATGACGCCCTCGAAGACTTGAGACGTGCAGCTCTCAATCTGGTCCTGCGAGCCGGCTAGATGAAGAAACTCATCGCAGTTGGGGCATCCCTCATCGCGGAAGCGCTAAATATGCCAGAAACAAAGGCCGGGTGTCAGCTGGGAGCGGCTTTGGCAGGATGAGAGAGGGCCGCTCGCGAAGGTGGAACTCACCGCATAGGTCTGGACGATGGAGCAGACCATGCAGGCGCGCAGGTAGCGCTGCTGGCCGGGCGTGACAAATGACGACATCCTGTGCTTGTGGAATGAAGAAATGAAGAAATCCTGCTTTGCTCGTGTTTGGATCCAGCTCAGGTCGCGACGATTGTTGAGAATGAGAGCTCGTATATAATGTGAACTTTTGTTTCCTCTTGTGGCGCTGGCCAATCGGACAGTGACCAGCGCTATGCTTATATCCGAAAAATGCAACAATCGCGTATTTCATGCAAGGCTCTGAAGTTCTCGCTAGCCTTCAGAGCTTCAATGAACATTTGCTCCAAAAAATAAAACAAGCGTTGATCTAAAGGAGAAAAATATGACACAAAGCACGCCCAGCAATTCAGCAGACACGTCAATTTCCAAGAAACTCCGTCTTGAGAAATCACACGATTTATTGACATGTACCGTCAAAAACCCCCAATTCTCCTATGCGCTTCTGGAGTTAGTTTCAGACAATGAGGACGCCGAGCTTGACAACCTGCAAGTCCAGTCATATTGTAATGCCGCTCTTCGCCAGTTTCTAGGCATCACAGGGGCTGCTATTCCCATAGACGTCCTCAAGGTGCAGGGCAGGGAGTGCTGGGTTCGCGTCCCACAGCCGGAATTAGGTGCCTTTGCGGCCGGCATCACTGCTTGGAGAGGTACTATCGAGGATGGTGCACAGAATATATTACGATTGAAGCAGTGCTCAGACTACCTTGGATCGATGGTCGGGGGATACGGCCAAGATACGCTATGGAATTCCTGAGATTTCACCAAAGTTCAGGGTTGAAAAGACAAAGATTCTACACGGGATATCCGTTTTATTTCCCAACACCTTTATACCGCCACCATATCTTCCATACGCCCAGGTTATGCGCTGTTCGGTTTATTTATATTGACGACTGTTTTGCGACTGTTATCGTGATTTGAACTTTTTTTCTTTTCTTGTTTCTCTTATACGGCAAACATGGACTCGGCCAAGCTCACGCCAGAGATGACATGAGAGAGCTTTGGGCATATGCCTAAATAAATCAGTCAGCATGTGCTTCACAATAAGCCGTCTGCGGAACATACCATCGGCTTAATGTCTGGGTGGGGAACGGCATCGAACTGCTGGTAGTTGAGCTTGTAGTCGGAGCCAATGTTGATGTAAGCACCCCTGTTTTCAGTCGAGTCACAATATCTGGGAGCAGAGAAGACTAATGGCATGTTAGAGAGAACAATAAACGAAGCGTCTTCCAGCACTTACCTGTGATGCACTTTCCATCGTGCTGAACTTCGTAACCATCCATGCGCACCTCGTGACTACGGATAACGGCTTCGAGGCCGTTCTTCTCGCAAAACTTCTTGGTGATATCCGGTCCAAACTGCATTCCGACACCTCTCTTGCTTGGGCCACGGCCATTCTCCTCCTGGGGATCCGTCCACAACATCTCCATCATCAGACCAGACTGGCCGGGCTGCCTTTGGTTGTGGCGGTTGAGCTTTCGAATGTCGTCCAGAGTAACACTGTCATCAGAGAAGAGACCACCATGGAGAACCAAGAATTTCTTGCCAATCAGAGTTGCCAATGGCAGAGCAGAAAAACTCTCTGAGAATAGCTTGAACACCCTACAATATGGTCAGAAGAGACAATCATAGTGGAGCCGTTGCACTGGTATCATACCTCTCGTTGTACTTAGCCTTACACTCTCCTTCAAATCCGTACACTCTGTTCATGTCATCGGTCTCATGGTTTCCTCGGTTCAGGAAGAAAGCATTGGGACGCAGCCACTTGTTCGCATATAGGAGTAGGGCAATTTCAGTGGACCAGGATCCTCGATCCACGAAGTCGCCATTGAACAGGTACCAGTGCTTGTCGTTGGGTGCGCCATTGCGACGGAAGAGCTCCATGAGATCGAAATATTGGCCTGTAATGAATCAGTATGCTGGGGGCAGGACGCTGGGCTAGAATTGACAACCATACCGTGTGTATCACCACAGACAGTCAACTGCACATCGTCGGGCACTTGTACCTCCACCATGGTGGGTTCGTCGTAGACGAGCTGCTTGACGGCCAGAATAATCTGATACACGTACTTGCGATGGATCTTCTTGCCAGTCTTGAAGCGCTCAGTCATGTCGTCGATGAACTCCTGTGTCATCTCCTTGCCGAGTCGCACACCGTCGTAACCATCTTCCACCGCCATGCTATCGAGGTCGAGTCCCTCGGCCGCAGAGGGCTCGTCGCCGACCTCGATAGCGGCGAAAAAGGCCAGCTGCCGTACAATCTTCTTGCATTCCTCTAGTTTCAATCGGGCATCTTTATTATTGGGGTCTAACCGGACGCATGCTTTGAAGTCGTCGATTGCTTCCTTGGGACGGAGGATTGCGGTTCGGGCCAGGCCTCGGCGGTAGTATGCCTGTTGGGAGGAATGTAAGCCGCAACACCGATAGTTAGGCTGGGAGTCAGCTGGGAGCAAGTTGCACGCACCTTGACCAGTTTGGGGTTGAGCTCGAGCGCCTTATCTGCATCTGCAATCGCGTATCCAAATGCTTCAACTTTGATGTTGGCCTACGCAATGAGGAGACAAACTCAGGATGTCAGCCAGTCTTGTTGGTCACACGACCTCCCACCGAGAGAGTCGAGGGTGAGCCGTGCAGCACCTACCTGAGCTCGATTCGTATAGAACGTGGGCTCGTCATCTTTCAGCTGAATAGCTTTTGTGTATAATTCGACCGCGGCTGGGTAGTCGCCCGAGGCAAAGGCCTTGTTGCCGTCATTCTTGAGATCGACGGCGGACGGAGCCATGATGTCGGAGGGGCTCAGAAAATCGGGGAAGGAAAAGTTACAGCTTGCGGATCCGCCAAATGCTGTCTTGCCTGAGGGGGAAAGCGCTTTCCAAAAACTCCAAGAATATAAAATATCTAAGGACAAGGGGTAACGACTAGTAATGACGGTACAGCTAGGAATGTAGGCCGAACGGGACGGCGAGGCGTTGGGATTCGGTTTGGTTCTTTGTGAATTCTAAAAAAAAAGTGGGAGAAACAGGTTGTAGCGCCTGGGCCAGTTGCTGTGGAGGGGATGGAGAGGGCCGATGGCGGGGTCGGAGGCGGCTTCGAGGGACAGGCCAGGCAGCCAGGACAGGCCCCTGCTCGGCGCCAGCGGGATTGGCGCCTTACAGAGAATCCCTACCGAATGGCCTAGAACCTGCCTAAACGCGCTGTCTGGGTGCGTAGCGCGCTGTACCTCGCGATCACCAGCGATTGCCCACAGGCTGCCCTCGGTTACATGCATATCGACCTGCTCGTTTCATTTTTAGCATGGATGCCGATGCATATCATTGCTCCAAGGATCGATCATCTTATCAATCAGTGATCAAGCTGGTATCTTCGCGGCTAAGAACACCAGGGCTGATAACCGCGTGTTGCCGACCCCTCCTCTACCAAACTGGCCAAGAATTGGAGGTGTAACGCTTGAATTATGTAGAGAAGCATTCAATGATTTCTCTATAATTTTAGTTACTCATGATATGTCCGGGGTGAGCCTGAGATGATATGAGGTATTATTCCAAAGTGGCCAAACAACCAACTTCGAAAGAAAAGGAATGCCTTCTAGACGTTCTATACCCCTCACCACGATGTCATCCAGGGCTGCTCGGCCCCTCCCTGCCAAGTTCTCAATCCATTGTGCTCATTTATACTTTACACCACATGCATTTCGCGTAATGGTGTGGATCGGCTGAGCCAAGACCAGACAGTGGTACCTGTTCACGACACACTCTAATCTAACCTCTTCATCTTATTCGCCCTCTGCACCTCTCTTAGAGGACATCTCTCACCATACTACTCATATCACCTGACTACCCTCATACCATCGTCGCTCAACAGGGATGACTCGACTTCAAATTCTTCATTTGCGTCATGCGACTCGTGCAATCTCGAACCAATACATTACTGTTGCTCAGTAGAAACTTCTTAGCTTTAGACTCCTCCTTCTCTTGACGTCGCTTGTAAGACCTTGAACCCTTCTCACCGCCACTACTTTGCTGGGACTCTTCATTACGACCACGGTGCTCATGTAGCCTCAATCCCCTTATCCCGTGGCTCCTCAGCGTGACTAACCTGATTGCACACTGATGGTAAATCTGAAGAGTGTGAATATTGAATCAATGGCAAGTGGTGCTGTTAGAGCGCTCGGCAGGAATTGGGAACACGACTCGACCAAGCGCAATCTGCCGAGTGATGAACGAATTATAGACGCAACCCACAAGAAGAATGAGCCCTGTAGCTATACTGCGCTCGCTTGAACGAATTGCGACAGAGCT